TTCCTCTCCGGCGATCTGTTCCTCAGTTCGAGTGGCAGACTCACCGGGTCCATCCTCATTCTCGTTGTATTCACCACCAATATAATATTGCAGAAGTGTCAACATGAGAAAATTAAAACTTTTTGTGTACCTGAGAGGTGTGATCTCGTTTCAAAATAAGCAATGCACGAAAAATATCCAGTCTTTCCATTCAGCAAGGACAGAAATTATGCAATGGTCCAGGTCTCTCACTCAGGGGAGGAACTTGCTCTTCCCTTCCCCAAGAACAACAAATCATACCCTGAAATTGAAGGAAATAAATCGTATTCCCTTAAGCCTAGTGTGCTGGCAAGCTTTTCAGCGGAGTAGACACGAGGGTAAAGGTCACGGGAGGTCAAGATGGAAAGCTCGAGAAGTGGGCCTCTCGCTGGGGCTGGTCACCGCCTTCTGCTGGGACATGAACAGAGAGAAGAACATCAATGAACGCGAATTCCTCCTGGCGGCGATGGTGGGGAATATTTCAAGGATGGAGGTAATATGTCTCATGATTATTTGATCATTCGAATCATTTCAGGATGTGACCAGCATTATTAACGTCAGTATCACAGAATAGATTTAAGGTCTCTAAGTGATATGTAAATTTTGTAGTATAATGTCGATATAAGGAGAGCACAGCCATAGGACCATGTGATATTTGTAAAAGGTCACAAACTATTATACTCAACTATAGTGAATGTTAGAACTGTGGTGATAAGTAGCACTTGCCTTTTTATAAAGAATACTATTTTTATCCATATGCAAAAGGACTGGGGGTTTGGAAATTACAGTGAATGTTAGAACTGTGGTGATAAGTAGCACTTGCCTTTTTATAAAGAATAGTAATACAGATTCTTGTAGTTTCCAATAACTTTCTTCAATTCCCTTTTTTAGCTTATGATTTTATCATTATCTTTCAGTCTCCCTATCTATTACAATATGAAACAACCCTAATCACTTCCTTATGATGATTTTGTGGGCATTCTTCAGTGATGTCTTGTCTGCATATTCTATATAATGATGCTCTGATTGATATTCTCTATTATATTTCTGTATAGTATGACATCTGTTATAATGATATTGAATTATGAATCAGCTAAGATACCTGATTAGAACTTTATTAAACTTCTTATCCTCTGTGAAAAAATAGATGGACTTAGAAATTAAAAGCTCTGTAAACAATGTTTCATTAATCACTTACACATAATACATTTTTCATTGATACTCTTATGGTTATTATAATCTACAGTTTGATTAGTAGTATAGTCCTTTATATTCAACCTCTTCATGTTCTCAAATTATAGATTTAGGATCCAAAAATATGGTTAGACTAATGAGGGAATCTAGGTATGTAAAGCAAACAATGAGGGCAAGAACAAGAAAATACACATACATTTTAAGCCTTTTTGCTATAGTGCTTCTGCAGGGCATGAAGAAGTGTTATAGCAAAAAGATATTCAGTGTGTGTGTGTTTCTTGTTCATCCCTTCTTTTTTTTTCTTCTTTTTTCCTTTTTTTCTTTTTTTTTCAAGCAGATAGATATGTAATACACTTGTTACACTCGTAATTTGTCCTGTTAAATTTTCAAGATTTTCCCACCCTCTATAAACTTCTTGGGCATTGTAAGTAATATAGGATTAATACTTAATCACTTCAGTCATACATATTACATTCACAGATAGCTGAATGAATAATTGTAAATTCAATTTCTGAAGCTTTGAGGGGGATATAGGCTTGCTTTTTATGCTTCACCAATATGTTTGAGTCAAGTCATATGGTTTGGAATTATGTGCGCTTAATCAGTACATTATTTAAGATAATATTCTTGTACAGGACAAAAAGTTACAGTCATCAGTACAAGTGAAAATCTGTAGATATGAACTGTAATGCCACAAATGAAGGAAAAAATTTTGTGGAAGGTTTTGCTCATATCCAGGGTTTACTCGGTGATCCCGAGTTTCAGGTCTATCTTGCTGTCCATATTGAGGTGAACTTTAGTTTGCCAGAGGGGTGTTAGGGGGCAGAGCCCTCCCATCAACCCACCAGGCACACCCAATCACAGCAATTTATATTTTTGAATAAAGTTTGTGATGTGGAACTGGGGACATCTGTATTGTAAGGAATTACCCTATGTTCAGATTCTTATTTTCTCCAGAAATCGAATTAATTTTACCATCTTTCCTCTTTCGTAAAAAATCTGTTGGATATGGTATGTGTCTCCATAATGTATTTTTCCTTACCCTTTTCAAGGAATACCTAAAGAAGGGTGTGGATGTAAATTGTCGTCACCCATATGGCTGGACAGCACTTCATTCAGCAGCTGCTAATAGTCGTCCAGAAGCTGTGAGATTCTTACTTAAAAATGGAGCAGATCCAAACATGGCAGATACTTTTTCAAATATATATCAGGTAGGGTACAAGAAGAATTTGTTAATTTATGATACATGAATTTAAGATGATAAAGAAATGATCTACTATGTGAGATAACAGCTATAGGAAGAATGATTAAAAATCACAATAACCTTTCCTTTGAAATTTTACTTTTTTGTTCTATTATAAAAATTCTTAGATATGTGATGCCTTGAACTTGGAACATGAGTACTGTACAGTAGCTTATAGGCAGTTCAGTATGAGAATTACAAATAATGTGGTCTTTGAAGATAGGGTTATGAATAAGAGCAGCAAATAAAGTAGATTCATTGATATAACTTGTACCAGTAATGCCGGTGCACATTTAGATTGCAGGTTTTAGCAATAGAATTATATTCATTCCCATAGTATTCATTTTGAATTACTTTTTTGACTCATTTTCCTTTTCCAGGTCGCACGTGAAAACAGGACATCACCTGTAAGTGTTGAAGCGATAAGAGAGGGTGAATTTTGCACATTGTTCAACCATAGCCGCATGTTCCGTGGGTGTACGGCCCTTCACTATGCTGTACTTGCCAATGACCCAGAGACTATTCAGATATTACTAGATTCTGGTGCCAACCCAATGCTTGAAAATGAATATCGCTTCAAACCAGAAGATTACTCAAGAGATACTGGAATGAGGACGATGATGCAGAGGCATTCAGAAAAATATATTGCTAAGCAAAAGAAGGAAGAAATGGAAGAACGAAGGAAATTTCCTCTAGAACAAAGAATCAAACAGAGAATAATTGGCCAAGAAGGAGCCATAGCAACGGTAGCTGGAGCTATAAGGAGGAAAGAAAATGGTTGGTATGATGAAGAACATCCACTTGTGTTCCTCTTCCTTGGTTCTTCAGGAATAGGTAAGACAGAGCTGGCCAAGCAGGTAGCTGAATACCTCCATAAGGGGAAGAAATCATCTTTCATTCGTATGGACATGTCAGAATACCAGCAGAAGCATGAAGTGGCCAAGTTCATTGGTTCACCTCCTGGGTATGTTGGGCATGATGATGGAGGGCAGCTAACCAAGAAGCTGAGAGAATGCCCCAATGCTGTGGTTTTGTTTGATGAAGTAGAAAAGGCACATCCTGATGTTCTTACCATTCTGCTGCAGCTATTTGATGAAGGCAGACTGACGGATGGAAAAGGAAAGACTATTGAGTGTAAGGTAATAGGACAATATTTTAATATTTGTTAGATAGTATTGTATCACAGACTAAACAAGTTCAGATATATATTTGAAATCATTTTAAAGTTTGAGAAATTATTTTAGAATATTAACAAGACCCTCTTTACAGGATGCAATCTTTATCATGACATCTAACCTTGCAAGTGATGAGATTGCTGAATATGGAAGACAGCTAAGAGAAGAAGCTGATAAAATTAGCAAAGCTAGATATGAAGGACAGCCGGAAGATATAGAAATTACTGAGACTATCACTGTATCACGGAGGTGAGAATTCTTTTCTTTATTGATAACCTTTAAAGATAATGGCCAAAGCCATCACCTTTTAGTTAATAAACAATTAATATGAATTTGTCTAGTAGTTTTGACAATGGGCCAGTTTGAATTGTACAAGGCCCGACCCAAAGAATATTTGTATACTTGACATGCATAAATAAAGAAATAAATGCACATTTATCAGTCTAGACATGCATATCAACCTGGCAAATATATGGATAAATGTATATCTATCAGATGTATAGACAGCTATGCCTTTATTTCTGCATCTGTATTTATGAAAATCTATTGGTACGGGCCTGGCACAATTTTAATAAACTGGCTGAATATCTATATATATGAGGCCCCCTCCCAAGGTTGAAATATTCAACTAAAAGGGATGTATCACAGTTGATAATTGATAATAATATTTGATTCATAATTGCATAATAGTATTTGCTTCTTGGATTTACAGTCTTCATAAATTCATAATACATTTTACAAACACCATTGATTATGCTGATGTCATTATATGAGATTGGAAAGCTATCTTGGTACTGCTTTTTCTCTCTCTCTCTCTCTCTCTCTCTCTCTCTCTCCTCTCTCTCTCTCTCTCTCTCTCTCTCTCTCTCTCTCTCTCTCTCTCTCTCTCTCTCCTCTCTCTCTCTCTCTCTCTCTTCTCTCCTCTCTCTTCTCTCTCTCTCTCTCTCTCTCTCTCTCTCTCTCTCTCTCTCTCTCTCTCTCTCTCTCTCTCTCTCTCTCTCTCTCTCTCTCTCTCTCTCTCTCTCTCCTCTCTCTTTTCACTCTTCATCTCAGAACCCATTATTTATGACCAGATAATTGACTATTCTTTCATAGATATTGATTTATAGATTATGAGTAAAAAGTATTGTAGACATTTTTCAGCAATCCTTCTACTTATACTTATTCTCCTCTCCTCATCTCATGTTTTTCCCACGAGCGCATTCCTAACTGTATAGGGGAATATCTGTAAACCAAAATAAGTGTGGAATTAAAGGCATTATAGGTTATCATAATGTGCAGAAAGTATGAGCTTATGGGGTAGACACGAAGTGATGAAGAATGCCAATAAAACATGTTTGTCTAAGGCACTAACAAAATGGGCTGTAGGGTCTTGTATCTCCAGAATGAACTGAGTATTGGGCTTTTATATTTGGGTATTTTTTGAGAATAAATATATAGATTATTGGAGAGCTTGAAATTGCTTATTCTAACACAGGACTGGGTACAATATTTTCAAGGATCGGTGTATATTTACTTTTGATATACATATGTATATCCACGTACACCCACATCTACCCATATACAACATGCTCTTATCACCCACACCTACACCCACCCAACCACACTCACATAAACTTACACAAAACTTTGTACATAACGATTGGTAGTAAGAGATATATCAAGAATATCTGTTCAAGATTTAAATGGAAAATAACATGTATTTTAGTTTTAAATCAGTTGATTTCAGCCAGGCTTTATTTTACTTTATTTTGATTTAAATTGATGAAAATCATGTAATAGAAACATTTGATTGCACCAATCCAGCATATTACTACATGCATATGTATACCTGTATACACATATACTTCTATACTGTTGTATGCATGTATGGTACATACACATATGTATACACATACATATATGCATGTATATCCACATACATATCCATTGATCCATATCCATATATCCACAAGCACAGACACAACCAACACAACACAAACAACACAACACACACACACACACAACACACACACACACACACACACACACACACACACACACACACACACACACACACACACACACACACACACACACACACACACACACACACACACACACACACACACACACACACACACCACACACACCACACACACACACACACACACACACACACACACACACACACACACACACAACACACACACACACACACACTACTCATTGATTTTGCAAGCTTTTGACTTTGAAATGTTGTTGCAGGTTCAAAGAGAAGATTGTTCGCCCTATTTTAAAGAGTCATTTCCAAAGAGATGAGTTTCTAGGAAGAATAAACGAAATAGTTTATTTCTTGCCATTTTCGAGATCAGAACTTTTGAGGCTTGTGAGGATGGAACTTGAAAAGTGGGTCAAACAGGTATGCAGTTCTCTCCCTTAAATTTCTTGTAAATTTTAAGCTAAAGAACTAGTGTTGCAATAGAAGCATGGAGTGTAAGAATGTAGTTTACATCATGACTTTTGTGGCTTCCATAGATCTTTACACCCTGCTTCATCATATGTAACAGAATTTGAGTAAGTATTTTTGAAAATTCTTATTGATAGTTATCAGTTTACATAATGTTACATAGATTTTTTCATACAAGATTCTCTATTGATGATGGAAATTGTAAGCACTAAGAAGGTAATTTTCTTACAGGCTCATGATAAGCACAACATTGAGATGAAGTGGGATCCCATGGTCTTAGACGTCTTGGCTGATGGCTATAATGTTTACTATGGGGCACGTTCAATCAAACATGAGGTTAGTAGAACACATTTGACATGGGTAGTGCAATTTGTGGTATGCAGCTTATGGAAGTTGTGTAAATGCAGCTTCAGGAAAATGATATCTGATAAAGGAAATCTGGTTGTAATGTATATATTGTGAGATTTCCAAATATCTTTGTAAATTTAAGATTCCTGCCAACACCTTCTATGTAAGTTACCTTTTTTGCTCTTAGTAATGATTTTGTAATGCAAATGACCTCTAGAACCTTTTGTCAGATTACAAATTAACAAAGTCACATTATTTTTTTAGCACTGTACAATTATTTATGTAATACCAGGCTTACTTTTTGTGAAGTAAAAAGTGTTTAGATTAATTTTTGCTTTTATTCCTATTATAAGTACTGTTTTGAAAAGATATGATATTAGATTTACTATGTATAAGATTTATGTTCGGCAGTTTTTTGTGGATTTAATTTTAGTATATGCTGATGGTAAACAGAAAAGTATCATTCAGTGAATTTTTTTTTTTCCTTTTTTGAAGATTTTTATGTTTTTGCTTTTACCAGGTACCTTTGATTAATGAAAATAAAATAATAATGTTTTATTGTCATATTTAGGAGAATTATTTTGTTGGTATCATTAAAATCATTTATGTTGTGATACCTCAAAAAGTTCAGAGCCACTCATGCAGTAAAACCCTGCCTTATTGCAGGTTGAACGCCGCTTGGTTAATCAGCTTGCCCTGGCCTATGAAAGTGGCCTTGTGACGCCTGGCTGCACAGTATACATTTACACAGATATACCTTCCACTGAAGAAGAAAAAGCCAAGCTACAGGATTCCCCAGCGCCCATCAAAATACGTGTTAGGTCAAAGGACGCAGACAATTTCACAGAAGTAGACCCGAACTCAGCTTTGAAAGCACAAGCTAAATAGAAGTAACATTTGGAAATCATAGGAGCTAGGGAAAACATTGTGTTAAATTTTCTTATATGTCTTTTATTGCTGAAATTATATTTACTAGAATCTTTTCTTCTGGTACTACAAACTACACTGAGAAATAACTTGATTTTCATGTCATGCATTTAGTAATTTATTATATTGGTAATTTTTTCAATAGGATTGTAAATAGTAAAGTATTATGTAAATATTTATGTTTTTTCAATGTGTATACTGTATATAAAAGAGATAAATATTGACCAATAAGAATTGTAACAAACAAGTAACTTTTATGTGATTTTACTGCAAATGCAAATTATATCAAGGTACATTTCAATTTTAATTCTACCTCAAAACTTTTTTCAAAACATTGCTTTTACATCACAGCTGCTGTGAGAAAGCCAGATTCCAGTTGAGATTTTATTGGAATATAAACTTTAGCTCTGGGAATGACCCAGTTCTTCAGAGATTTTCCTCTCTCTCTTTCTCTCTCTCTCTCTCTCTCTCTTTTTCTCTTTCTTTCTTTCTTTCTTTCTTTATATATTTTATTATTTATTTATTTATCTCTCTCTCTCTCTCTCTCTCTCTCTCTCTCTCTCTCTCTCTCTCTCTCTCTCTCTTCTCTCTCTTCTCTCTCTCTCTCTCTCTCTCTCTCTCTCTCCCTCCCTCTTCTCTTCTCTTTCTCTTTCTCTCCCCTGTCTCTTTCTCCAGCCTCTTTTCTTTTCTCTTCTCTCCCTCTTCTCTTCTTTCCTGGCTCGCGCGTTTCTCTTATCTGCTCGTCGTCAAACCCTCTTTTCTCTTCTCCTCATCCTCTCACTTCTCTTTCTCTTCCCCTCTTCTTTTCCTCCTCCCCCCTCTCTGCGTACTCGCCTCTCTCCACTCTCTGAAGCGCCTTCTCTCTTTCTCGTCTTCCTCTCAGATCCTCCTCTCGTCTCTCTGTCTCCTCACCCTCTCTCTCTCTCTCTCCTCTTCCTCTCTTTCTTTCCCTCTTTCTCTTCTTTCTTTCCCTCTTTCTCTTTTCCTCCGACTCTTTCTCTCTT